TCCACCATCTACACTACATTCTCTGACAGCTCTCCTCCACCATCTACACTACATTCTCTGACAGCTCTCCTCCACCATCTACACTACATTCTCTGACAGCTCTCCTCCACCATCTACACTACATTCTCTGACAGCTCTCCTCCACCATCTACACTACATTCTCTGACAGCTCTCCTCCACCATCTACACTACATTCTCTGACAGCTCTCCTCCACCATCTACACTACATTCTCTGACAGCTCTCCTCCACCATCTACACTACATTCTCTGACAGCTCTCCTCCACCATCTACACTACATTCTCTGACAGCTCTCCTCCACCATCTACACTACATTCTCTGACAGCTCTCCTCCACCATCTACACTACATTCTCTGACAGCTCTCCTCCACCATCTACACTACATTCTCTGACAGCTCTCCTCCACCATCTACACTACATTCTCTGACAGCTCTCCTCCACCATCTACACTACATTCTCTGACAGCTCTCCTCCACCATCTACACTACATTCTCTGACAGCTCTCCTCCACCATCTACACTACATTCTCTGACAGCTCTCCTCCACCATCTACACTACATTCTCTGACAGCTCTCCTCCACCATCTACACTACATTCTCTGACAGCTCTCCTCCACCATCTACACTACATTCTCTGACAGCTCTCCTCCACCATCTACACTACATTCTCTGACAGCTCTCCTCCACCATCTACACTACATTCTCTGACAGCTCTCCTCCACCATCTACACTACATTCTCTGACAGCTCTCCTCCACCATCTACACTACATTCTCTGACAGCTCTCCTCCACCATCTACACTACATTCTCTGACAGCTCTCCTCCACCATCTACACTACATTCTCTGACAGCTCTCCTCCACCATCTACACTACATTCTCTGACAGCTCTCCTCCACCATCTACACTACATTCTCTGACAGCTCTCCTCCACCATCTACACTACATTCTCTGACAGCTCTCCTCCACCATCTACACTACATTCTCTGACAGCTCTCCTCCACCATCTACACTACATTCTCTGACAGCTCTCCTCCACCATCTACACTACATTCTCTGACAGCTCTCCTCCACCATCTACACTACATTCTCTGACAGCTCTCCTCCACCATCTACACTACATTCTCTGACAGCTCTCCTCCACCATCTACACTACATTCTCTGACAGCTCTCCTCCACCATCTACACTACATTCTCTGACAGCTCTCCTCCACCATCTACACTACATTCTCTGACAGCTCTCCTCCACCATCTACACTACATTCTCTGACAGCTCTCCTCCACCATCTACACTACATTCTCTGACAGCTCTCCTCCACCATCTACACTACATTCTCTGACAGCTCTCCTCCACCATCTACACTACATTCTCTGACAGCTCTCCTCCACCATCTACACTACATTCTCTGACAGCTCTCCTCCACCATCTACACTACATTCTCTGACAGCTCTCCTCCACCATCTACACTACATTCTCTGACAGCTCTCCTCCACCATCTACACTACATTCTCTGACAGCTCTCCTCCACCATCTACACTACATTCTCTGACAGCTCTCCTCCACCATCTACACTACATTCTCTGACAGCTCTCCTCCACCATCTACACTACATTCTCTGACAGCTCTCCTCCACCATCTACACTACATTCTCTGACAGCTCTCCTCCACCATCTACACTACATTCTCTGACAGCTCTCCTCCACCATCTACACTACATTCTCTGACAGCTCTCCTCCACCATCTACACTACATTCTCTGACAGCTCTCCTCCACCATCTACACTACATTCTCTGACAGCTCTCCTCCACCATCTACACTACATTCTCTGACAGCTCTCCTCCACCATCTACACTACATTCTCTGACAGCTCTCCTCCACCATCTACACTACATTCTCTGACAGCTCTCCTCCACCATCTACACTACATTCTCTGACAGCTCTCCTCCACCATCTACACTACATTCTCTGACAGCTCTCCTCCACCATCTACACTACATTCTCTGACAGCTCTCCTCCACCATCTACACTACATTCTCTGACAGCTCTCCTCCCCCATCCACACTACATTCTCTGACAGCTCTCCCCACCATCCACATTACATTCTCTGACAGCTCTCCCCTCACCAACCAGTAACAGAAAGAGATTGGTCGCAAGCAGCGTTCTGTGCGCTGACCAAGAAAGAGTTAAATCAGACAGTTATTTGGAAAAATAGTAAATTTTATTTCGAAACGTAAGAAAGAGTAACATCTCTTCCGAAAATAGACATAACACACTTTAAAATCGACAACGCTGTCTTGCGTAAACACACATACACATATTTTATGGGTGGTCCTTATTTCACCTTCTAAAGTGGATATGTTGCTAACAGGACACAGACAGAAAAGCCTCTCATGCGGGATAAGATTTAATTCTCTTTGGTATAGTATGGTGAATGCTGGCAGTAAGGATTTGGTCTCAGCTATGAGTTATTTTTAAAGTTATCCAGTAGATGGAGTTTAGGGGATCATCCCTTTCTATGAGGACAAGAGGTATTCACATGAGTAATAGCCACATCTCGGTTTTCCTTTTATAATAGCTGTATCTCGGTTAGCGGTTAGTGTATTTGCATTGCCGCTGAAGTCTATAGTTATAGCAGATGGAATACTTTTAGTATATTATCTTGGAAATCGAGTATATTGGTAGATTAATGACAAGATCTCATTTGCAGGTAAATCTTCACCATATTAGCATTTGATTATGTTATAACCAGGTGATCCATTAACCATAAATTCATTGTGGGATACAGAGGGGAGACAAATTGAGGGCTATATAAAAAACTCACGGTCTTCCCGAGTTGGTAGTCGGAGGTGCCGTTTTTTTAGAAGTTGCAGCTGTTTCCCATTTAAACCTGCTTTGGCGTCCGGATTTTTTCATCCAGTATAGTTTTTGGTCCGTGGGTTCTGCTGTAGGTACTAACCGGTTTTCCCCTTCACTATGATGATGTTAGAGGCAAAAGAAGTTCTGGTGGGTCATGTTGAGTCACCAACCACACTACATTCTGATTCTTTGGCTAAAGCCATTCAATCAAAATATCTGAATTGGAGGCGGGGTCATAATACAAGATTTGTCATATCTCCAAGTTGTAGCCTACAGGAATTTCTTTAACCCCACAAATGATGGAATCCCTTCTCATCTCTTTTGCATCTAGCTGGGCATCCAAATCCTTGCCTTACCTAAGTGTCTCTGTAACTCCCTCTTACCACAATCTGTATCTGGCAAAATATATGTCGCTTTTTCAGCACCTTTATTTGCTCCTCTCTTCTTGGGAAGAATTTGGGAAAATTGTTTTAGTTAGCATGACAGCAGGGGTAAAAATTTGTTGCACAAATTTTACCCGAGTCCTTCTGGTCTGCATTCTGTCGAACATTCAAGGTGACCTTAGCCTCCCACTCTTTCACAATTACTATCATGCAGCGCAGCTTGCCCAAATATCTCTTTGATACCCTGCTCAGTGGATGCCCCTCTGGGTACCTGTTCAGGCATATTTGTGTTCCCCAATTTAGATCAATAGCCTTCTATGGGTGTCACCGAAACATCACGCCTCTGTCACCTGTCAAGTTACTAGACTCTTCGGCCTCTCCAATCTAAGCATTGAAAGTGTGATCTCTATAACTTACAGTTGTGGCGAGATAGCGACAACCAACAATCTTAGCTGCATTGGCAGACAGTGACTCCATCCAGAAGACACCTTGAAGATCTCTAAGAAGTATAAACCAAAACTGTGAGGATCTTACAACAGTGAACATCGGAGAGGTCAGAAGATCATAATGTGATCCACTCAACGAAATGACACGGGGCTGAGATGCAAACTGGACCAGAATGAGGAAGGGAGGAGCTATCTATACAGAGGAACACTGAGCTATGGGGAGCGGAGGAGAGGAACACCGGGGACAGATGAAACACATACAATATTAAGACCCATCACAATGCATGCGACACATGACAATGACAATGATTGACTGATTGATTTGTCGATTTCGTCCCTCTGTTACAACCCCAATAAACACACAGACTGCGCGACATGGATTTTAATGGCCACAGCAGCCCTTTTATTAAACAAACCAACTATAACAATAACCAAAAGTAATAAACAAAATAATATACAAATAGATACTCTAAACAACTGTTGACCTGAGAAGGGGGTCTTTGGGTGCCCAACAGCCCAAATAAGGCCTCTCCTAAAAAACTGCTCCCATGTCCTCAGCCGCACCAGGACCAGCTCGAGGACAAATACTACTCCCACGTTCTAAGGGGCCAGGCCCGCCCCCTACAAATCCTAACACCAACAGGGGGAAGCACCTATACTAGCCAATGGCCCCCCATTTGTGTAACTGTCTCTGAATTTTTTTAGACCCCCCAAAGACCCCCTAACCCGCCAAGCTGCCGGGACAGAAAACGAACCCTGCAACCAGCAGAACCACGCAATTCAGGGAGGGACAACCTGCTTCCTCCATCGATTTTCCAGAAAGAACACCCCTCAGCCCTTGCAGTTCCTACCCATGCAGCTCCTCCCGGGCAGCTGACCCCAACGACAAATCAGGTCAGAACAGCTTTTCACATTTTATTTTGAACCACTTCTCCCGGGACTATTCCACCCGTCATGTAGCTCCTCCGCTCAGTCTCTATCTTTAAAATGATTACCATCGAGGTAAGGAGAATCCTTCTTCCTGATGACCACCCTTTTTCTTTTATACCCTACAGTTGTTCTATGGACTATCTTACAATTGTTCTATGCACTAAACAGTTCCACCTGTGAAAAGTAATCGTACATTTGTCATAAGAACCAGCTGGCGCTGTCTATTTAAACTCCTTTTCCCGCAGTCAGTGAGGACGCTCCGCAGTATGTTTCTCTGTGGAAGATTTGCTGTAGTCTGAACAAGAATAAGGTTGCTCACCTGAATGACTTCTCTGGTGTCTAACAAGGGATCCTTTATGAATGAATGATTTCCCGCACTCTGAACATGAATAAGGACGTTCACCCATGTGACTTCTCTGGTGTCTAACAAGGTCTCCTTTCCGAGTGAAAGATTTCCCGCACTGTGAACACGAATAAGGACGCTCACCTGTGTGACTTCTCTGGTGTATAACAAGGGCTTCTTTCTTAATGAATGATTTCCCGCACTCTGAACATGAATAAAGATGCTCACCCGTGTGAATTCTCTGGTGTATAACAAGGTCTCCTTTATAAATGAATGATTTCCCGCACTCTGAACATGAATAAGGTCGCTCACCTGAATGACTTCTCTGGTGTACAACAAGGGTTCCTTTATGAGTGAATGATTTCCCGCACTCTGAACATGAATAAAGATGCTCACCCGTGTGACTTCTCTGGTGTATAACAAGGGTTCCTTTCCGAGTGAAAGATTTCCCGCACTCTGAACATGAATAAGGACGCTCACCCGTGTGAATTCTCTGGTGTATAACAAAGGCTCCTTTCTGAGTGAATGATTTCCCGCACTCTGAACATGAATAAAGATGCTCACCTGTGTGAATTCTCTGGTGTATAACAAGGTCTCCTTTATGAATGAATGATTTCCCGCACTCTGAACATGAATAAAGACGCTCACCCATGTGACTTCTCTGGTGTATAACAAGGGTTCCTTTCCTAGTGAATGATTTCTCGCACTCTGAACATGAATAAGGACGCTCACCCGTGTGATTTCTCTGGTGTATAACAAGATCTCTTTTATGAATGAATGATTTCCCGCACTCTGGACATGAAGATGTTCGTACACCAGTGCTTTCTGAACTTGAATGAACTTGAGAATGCTCACCTGTGTGAATTCTCTGGTGTATAACAAGGGTTCTTTTCTTAGTGAATGATTTCCCGCACTCTGAACATGAATAGGGACGCTCACCTGTGTGAATTCTGGTGTGTTTATTAAGGGCTCCTTTGTCGGTGAATGATTTCCCGCACGCTAAACATAAATAAGGACGCTCACCTGTGTGAATTCTCTGGTGTGTAACAAGGTGATCTTTATAAGTGAATGATTTCCCGCAGTCTGAACATGAATATGGACGTTCACCCGTGTGAATTCTGTTGTGTCTATGAAGGGCTCTTTTATCAGTGAAAGATTTCCCGCACTCTGAACATAAATAAGGACGCTCACCTGTGTGAATTCTCTGGTGTATAACAAGGGTTCTTTTGTGAGTGAAAGATTTCCCGCACTCTGAACATGAAATAGGGAGCTCACCTGTGTGAATTCTCTGGTGTATAACAAAGTTTTCTTTGCGAATGAAACATTTTCCACACTCTGGACATGAATAGGGTCGCTCATCCATGTTCATACTCTGGTGTCTAAGAAGGTTTTTGTTTTCAATTAAAGATTTCCCACACACTGCATGTGAGAAAAGATTTTCACCTATGTGATCTCCTTCATGGGGTGAAGAAGATTCCTTGGGATTAGATGGATCTCTTGCACTGTGAGATCTTAGATGGTCATTTCCAGTCATAGTATGTGAATGATCAGAAGATTCACCCTGATCAGAGGGATTCATTGATGTCTCCGAACAGTGAGGTCTGTGATGTATATTTTGTGTGTTTGGATTCACTCCTGGAGAATCCTGTGTGATGACATTATCTTCTGAGTGCCAATAAGCAGCCAATACAAGATGTCTCTTCGAGGTATTCCTGATATCACATCCATCTGCTAGAGAGAAATTATTACACACGTCAGTAATCAGAGTCATGTATGTTGGTCTAGAAGTCATCACAGAGCTCTGGCATGGAATTGGGTACAACGTTACGACATGTAAAAACAAATGAGATAAAACACCCAAAACAACTCTGACACACTGGGCAAAATAGTTTTTGGGAATTGATCACGGCTATGGAGAATAAGAGAGATGGACCTTCATATGGTGTACAGTATCTTCTCCTCATTTGTTGGGGGCATGATGTTATATTGAGGAATGGAGATGGACCTTCATATGGTGTACAGTATCTCCTCCTCATTTGTTGGTGACATGACGTTATATTGAGGAATGGAGATGGACCTTCATATGGTGTACAGTATCTCCTCCTCATTTGTTGGTCACATGACGTTATATTGAGGAATGGAGATGGACCTTCATATGGTGTACAGTATCTCCTCCTCATTTGTTGGTCACATGACGTTATATTGAGGAATGGAGATGGACCTTCATATGGTGTACAGTATCTCCTCCTCATTTGTTGG